TTAGGGTTTGGGGCTGAGGGTTTAGTCAAGGAAGTGTCAGCAAAGGATATCTAGGGCTTCATCTTATGGTGTAACTTATACTAAAGCTAAACCCTAAGGATACCTAGGGCTTCATAATGTTGTGGTGTAACTTATACCAGACCCTAAACCCTAAACCCTACAGGGATTCCTACGGGGGAGTTTAGGGGGCACTTTCAACGGGTGAAAGGTCCAAGGACCCTTACACGATTTGCTCTTTTGGCCTGGTAACTAACCTTTTTCAAGCTGTTTAGGGTTTAGTTTAGGGTTCAGGGTTAGGGTTTAGGGCTTAGGGTGTAGTGTTTAGGATGTTTGTCAGGAATGGGCAAGCAACCCCCCTTCCCTTATAAGTTACCTTGGAATCAGTACTACACCCCGTACTACATCCCACCCCTCAACCCCAAAAACCTTAAATCCCAAACGCCCTACACCCGATAGAGTCTTTGGAGGACCTTCCCAAAAAAAAACTACATTCCGATCGTCTTTGGAAGCCGAGATCTTCAATGAAGCACGATCACAGGCTGACGCTGGTGATGCCGCGGGTGACCTGAACGAAGGCTCGAGACCCGGATTCAGATGGGTCTCGGGCTCAGAATTTAGAACTTAAGTTTGGGGTTTAAGTTTGGGGTTTAAGTTTAGGGTTTAAGTTTAGGGTTTAAGTTTAGGGTTCAAGGTTTAAGTTTAGGGATTACGGTTAGCGGTCTTTGGTTTAGGTTTAGGTCTTTGGTTTGGGTTTAGGGCGTCGGGCTTGGGGTTTAAGTTCTAGCGAAGGGCTGTCTGTCTTTGCACAAGGCTGCGAAAGGGGGCTTACGACGCTAAGGTCATGGAGGCTAACGTGTTACCTGGACCCTAAAGAACCTATCCCCTAAACCCTAAACACTAAACCACCTACTTTTTCAGGGTTCCTTGTTCTGATTTCCTTATACAAATCCCCCCAAAAAAGTAGGTGTTAGAAAGGGTGCAGGTAGGGCTTGAGGGACTTTGGGCTGTAGAGGCTGAGGTTTGAGGCTCGGGGTGTAGTGTAGTGGGGCTTTAGGGTTTAGGGTTTAGGTTTTAGGGTTTTGGATTTAGGTTTAGGGTTAGGGTTTAGGGATGTCCGCGAAAAAACATCCATGACATTGCTTGGCGAAAGTGCATTGTGCCGTCTGGGAACTCTAGCCGCTAAACCTTTTTGAACTGAAACCCAAAGCCGCCGTGCCCGCACCCAGAATCACTGGATTCAGGGTTTAGGATTTAGTTTTTGGGGTTGTGTTCTCGCTATTCTTCTGTTCGTTTGACCTCGTAGCACTATCCGTCTCATTCGTACTGTGGTCCTCATTGTCACTATTGTTAGAGCCTTAACCCTAATCCCGAAACGTAGTAAATCAAATTACATGTCTCAGACTAAACACCCTTAACTGCAAGTCTGAGTAGTTGGAATCGACGACACTAAGTTGCTAAAAGTATCAACCGATCTGAACCCTAAACCAACTCCCTCCTCCTCCTCCTCCCATCTAGGAGACACTAAATGCCTACTAGTAGGCATCATCCACCCCTGTTTGTTGAGGGTGGCAGGAGAATGCCGGTAAGTTGCTGCTCATTGTCGCCAAGCTGCTGAGAAGTCAACGGCGCCTGTGACACCAGCCTCAGGCATTCTGGCTTCATCGTGGGTTTAGGGTTTAGGGCTGTAGGGCTTGAGGATTTAATGTCGGGGCCTTAACAATCAGAGCAGGGGCTTGGGGTTTAGAAAACCATAAATAACTCGAGTAAGCAATGCAAGCAACCCCGAAACAGTATTCTTAGAGCAAGAATCTGAACAAAGTGCTCCTCTCGCACTGACTTCGCCTACTGTCGCAGCATCTAGTTAGTTCATCAGCAGGGCAAAACTAACCTGTCTCACGACGGTCTAAGCCCAGCTAAACCCTAAATCCTAAACCCACGTTCCTTCTTGGCGGGGAGCCATCCCATAAACTCTATCACCCTAATTTGCTTGAAATGTCGGAAGTAAGGTGTCGGGTTCCAGCTCAACCCAAAACACATCAAACCCATGCCCCAAATATGCGAAACCCGAAAGCCCGAAAACCCGAAATTCTAAAGCCCTAAACAAGAATTAATGAACCCTATAGCCCTACAGCCCCGAACCCTCAAACCTGACTTTCTTGGCGAGATGCTTTGGTCTTTGCCCCGCGCAGCGCCTAGCAAAGAGCGATTCATCGGTTCTCACACTGAAGGATGAAAACAAGGTAAGCTGATGGCCCAACGCTTATAGAAGACTGTTATTCTACGCACCCTAAGCCCTAAACCCTACACCCCTAAACCGTTAGGGTTTAGGTCCTTTCTTTAAGGAGCCATCACACGACGGCACCCTGGCAGAGGCGAGCTAGGGCTCTGGTTTGTGAGTGTCAGGCTGGCGAGCCTTGGGCTCAGAGATTTTTTGAAATGTAAATTAGCCTCTTCTAACATCTTTTGACATGGTTAAGGTTTAGGGTTTAGGGTTTAGGGTTTAGGGTTTAGGGTTTAGGGTTTAGGGTTTAGGGTTTAGGGTTTAGGGTTTAGGGTTTAGGGTTTAGGGTTTAGGGTTAAGAACATTTTTAAAACATTTTAACATACTTCAGCATTTGAATTGTATGCGGGTACACCTGAAGAACCAGATGACCCTTGAAAGCATGCTCTGCATCTTCTACTATACACCCTTGTAGGATACTGTAGGAACCATAACCCTTGAGGGTCCGCTTGGGAACGGCTTCATCACTCTCCAGGAGGCTCCATATATAGTACCGTTATAGAATTAGGTCCCTACAACCATAATAAGGATGGGTTTGGGGGGCCTTTAATTCGGTAGTATGTATGGAGCCTTAGGGTAAGAGCCCTAAACCCTAAACCCTAAACCCTGAACCCTAAACCCTAAACCCCAAACCCTAAACCCTAAACTCCTCATTTGCCCACGCCTCTCGGAGAGTGATGAGGATGGTGGCTAGGGCTCTTTTCGTGTCCACCAAATCAACGCCGACCTGGGCGGCAGATCCGAACGCCTAAACCCTAGTTAGGGTTTAGGGT